AAATTTTTTTAGAGTTAAATGACACACACAAACTTTTATATAGAAACTTTGACATTCAGACTATAGTAGTATAATATTAGACAAGTATCTTTAAAGAGTACAAATGCTATTTTTCTGCAATAAATAGTGTACATTTAATGCTCAAAAATGTCAAATATCACTAAGATAAACTGCTATACATAAGAACATGACTTAGAAAAGTATGAGAAACCAAATTTTAAAGTGAAATTGCTTCAAATACGGTTGTTACATAATTTTTTTAAATGTAAATACTTACTTAAAATGTGAATAATCACATTTTATCAGTGTGAATAATCATTATTCTATTATATGCAATGTTAATTTCAATGAATTTTTTTTAATGCAAGTCACACTTATAAATGTTTCCATCTTTAACTGTGTGCCAAACATACCTACATATGTTTATAACTCTCTGGAAATAAGTATCTTATTCCTTTGTGGCAGGTTGTGGTTTAGGAAAGGAGTTGCCATCCGTGGAAAGAATCGCCGATGGTGATATTACAGAGAAATGCGACTGGCCGTGGCAAGCCAGCCTGCAGGTGGAAGGTGTCCACATCTGTGGGGCATCTGTGATCAGTGAGGAGTGGCTCTTGACTGCCGCCCACTGCTTCGACGTGTGAGTCTACATTCTGTACCCATAGGGTCACCAACTTCACCTCTTTTTCTCCTGTTTACCTCCTATAGTTCTTCTCTCTTTTACATTTCCTCCCTGAACATCTTAGGCCTCCCAATGCTACTCATGATAGTCTAGCAGGCTTTAGGAAAAATGAGAATTGCTGAAGAACAGCAGAAAAAATTAGAGTATCTCCAGCTCCAACTGAAAATGTACTATCCAGAAATCTCACAAGCCAACACTGCCAAATTAAACATGCCCACCCGTTTTCCTGAGATGTGTTGCAGATTTTTAAGGATTCTGAAAATAGCATCCTAACCTATAAATATATCTGATTATCCTAGATATATTTGGTGTTGTGAATATCTTTGGTGCTGTGCTTTTAGTTTTTGTATGTTTTTTGAAAATTTAACATATGGGACACTTGGAAATAATAAAGAGATGTAGTAACCCTAGTGGAATCATATTAAGTGGTAAAAATATTCTGGATAAAATGCCAAATAAAAAGGAAGCATGAAAATACAATATATAAAATATGGCTCCAATTTTACACTTCTATCTCTCTCTCTGTCTCTCTTTCTCTCCGTAGCTGTACATACATTTATATTAGTGTGTATGGATATGAGTATATATGTGTGTTTATGTGTATATATGTTCGTACATATATACACATTTATTTATATTTTCTTCAATTAATTTGTATCATTTTTATAATCAAAAATGGCAATAATACGTTGCTTCTTTTAAAAAGTACAAATGCCCCTCAAGGAGAGTAATTTAAGCTACCTTGGAATGGGGGAATTGTTATCAGCTAGATAAAAGCAAAGTATTCTTAGGGGACAAGACTCAGACAAGAAGATGGGAAGGTCCCAATCAACTATCACCTTAAAAAATTTGCCCTTCTCCCATACTTATGTCCCACGCCCATCCAGAGTCCTGGGCAACTTCAGATCAGAAATGAACCAAATGTACTCCTTTTAATCTGTGATCAGTTACAAAAACCCCAGACTATGGATGGCTAGTTTTGGAAGAACCCTAAACCCTTCCCTGATGAGAAGAAAGGTGCAGTCAATTATTGTTCACAAAAACTATGCTGCCCATAAACACGACGATGACATCGCTCTGGTGAAGCTCTCCACCCCCATCGTATTTTCCAACGAGGTGCACAGAGTCTGTCTCCCGGATGCTACTTTTGAAGTCTTGCCTAAGAGTAAAGTGTTTGTCACTGGATGGGGAGCATTAAAAGCAAATGGTGAGTATCTCAGTAAAACACCAAGCAAAAAATACAAGCCTATCCTTCGTTTGAATGGAGATGTGAAATAGAATACAAAATTAAGATATAGAAAATAAGATAAAATCAGATCTCTCATGATAAATATGGCAAAAACAAACGAAAAACAGATGTGATGAATTTCTGAAACTTTGGCTGTTACCATTACTATTATACAGTACCTATGTTTGTTGCCTTTTTTATGAATTATTTTGGAAACCAGTTAGAAGGTTATTTGCAAAATTTATTAAAGCACATTTTTTATATCATTTTTTTCTTTTGGACGCTGTCTTTCACATGTAGAGATTCTGCTATGTCTGCATGGTTCATAAATTGCACGATTTGCAAGCACTAGTAATGATAAGCTTCTGCAATGTATCATGCAACCAAACAGAAATAGCCTTAAGTGAGCAATATGAATGGCTGTTCTTTACCTAGCACTTACTAAATGGAAACTTTCCACTCCCTGGATAGTTTCTTCCTTGAATAGTTGATAGTGTAAAATAGTTCAATATGTTGTTAAGCCCTTGAATTGATTTTTTTAAAGTTGGCATTAAAGAATTATGAAAATTTGCAAAATTTAAAACCAAGCATCCTAGACTAATTAGCTAAATGGTTTAGAAATTAGAAGTAGTTGGAATACAGTTGATTAAAGGCTGAGAATATCTAAAAAATTTAAATGCTATCATAGATAGCAAAATAGATAGTATTGAATGTTGCTGAGGCATTTACACAAATAGTTTACATTGTGTACAAATCTCTATCAAGAGCAGTTGGTGAGCAGATTCCCTCATCCGGAGTATTTCAAACAGAATCAGAGATAGAGAGACAAGAAAGTGGTCACACAATGACCCTTCCATAATGACTTAAAGAAGAAATTCACTAAACCCTCGAAAATTTTTAATGACTGTAGAGAATTTGGACTTAGTTTTTCAGCAAGATAGTTAATCTTAAGTCAGTAAATTTACCCATTTTAAAACAGAGAATTAGATGTCTTTACTGTGAATGACAAAATCCCTAGAAACATAGATCTCCTCTTATAGAAGCTATTTCTCAGTATCCATCATTAACACTGAAGTGCAGCTTTAAGACCCTGAAGATGTAAAATATATAGACCTAATCTCTATATTTCATTCTAATAGCTTCCATTTATTAAAAACTGAATATGGCACGAGGCACTGTCATAACTGATTATATTCATTATTTTAACTCATAATAAACATGAGAGAAAGGCATAATTTTCTCTTTTTTACAAGTGAGTAAAATGATGCTTGGTAACTTTCCCAAGGTCATATGGCTTGCAAACTATGCAAATAGTGTTCAAACTCATATCTGCAACCTTTAAGACCAGGGCCTTTAAGCACAGAATTACCCTGACTCAGGGCTCAAATAAATAGCACTGCACTCCTTCACCCTCTCAATTGTCTTTGAACCTGTTGTAAGCAAAGCATTCATCTCTATATGAAGGATTAATAGTCTTTAAAATAGAATTTATTAAAGGGGAATGAGAATATAAGGGCTAAAACAATACTACATGCAACTAAATAATACCTTTTATATAATAATCAATAAATGTGTCATTAATTAATAAAACATGATCTATTTCTTATCTTAGTATTTGTTATTTACCCTGGCGTTTGTTATGAGTAGCAAGTTAAGCTATTGTAAAAGTAAACTTGATCTTTCTTATGAAGCAATAGGATTCCATCAGTATTAAAGTTACTTCCTGGTAGAATAGCCTTGTTCTATACTGCTCTTGCTAAAGGATTCCCAGTTTTCGAAATAGTTATGTTCTTTGTAAAGTGATGAGGTAGATTTCCAGGTAAGGTAAGGTAAGCAGTCACAGATTCTCCCAGGTGTTGAGAAATACCCGGGATTTATATCTAACATCATTCTCCATTTGACTATGTGATCATGGCAAGACCCCTAACCAGGTTTACATCAGTTTCCTCAACTGAAAAAAGAATATTTATATCTATCTTTGGTGGTTTTTGCAAGGATTAAATAAAATAGTAGGAACAAACAAGCCAAACATAGTACCCAGCATATAGAAGGCACCCAGGACATGTAACTTGATTCTGAGCATTGTCATTCAGCCCAGAATCCTACAACTTCAAGACTTAGCTTTTATTCACTGGTCCCTCCATAGCAAGACACAACTAACTATCACAGCAACAATGTAGAAATTCACCTATTTATTTTTTCTTTCTTTAGGCGCTTTTCCCAATACTCTGCGAGAAGTTGAAATAGAGATCATAAGTAATGATATATGCAATCAAGTTAATGTATACGGTGGTGCTGTCTCATCGGGAATGATCTGTGCTGGATTCTTGACAGGAAAGCTAGATGCCTGTGAGGTAAGAATAGACTCAAATCCACAAAAATGGGTCTGTGAAGTAGGGATGGCCTTATAGACCATAGGCCAATGTCATTTCACATCACTGCATGACATTAACTTGTGGGGAAGAGAGGAGGCTGTAAAAAGAGGGAGTGGAAGAACCGTGAGACATACTCCTCATGTAACACCCTATTGAGCAGAACCATCTGGAAAAAAATGTGTGCCAGCTACAAATTAGGACTCCAATTAGAGAAAAGTACTAGAAGCAGATAGTGGAAACCAAGTTAGGAAGCCATACTTGCTTCAAGGCGCAGTCACAACCAACAGTTAGGGATCTAATCCCTACTATCCGGAAGGCACTGGGGACAGGCTCTGCAGCCATCTCTAAGGCCAATAAAGCATCACTCCACCAGTGCTGCCTAAACCTTTGACTTTAAGCGGTGTACATCCAGATATGATTATACTATTTAAAAACATTACCTATAAAATTTGAAACTGGGTCCAACAGTTTAGCAATTCTTTGAAGAATTAAGAATGGCTTTGAGAATTTGACACATATTGTGCTTTTCTTTTTTTTTTTTAACATGCAAACGTGCCACTACTGATCTGCCATTGGCTGTCTGTCATGCGATGGTAATAAACATTCATTCACTTATTCACTCAAATTTCTTGTGAACTACAAGGTACTGCAGCAGTTACTGAAGGAAACATAAACATGTAAAAAATCGCAATGAATTTACAGTCTAATAATAGAGCACACAAGTAACTCAGGATCAGGTCGGGATCCTGGAAAGGTCAGGATTTAGCTCCATATTCTAGAATACAAGGTGTCCTTCCACTCACTTTATTTCCTGAGGAGGAGAGACAATGTGGGTGGTCCAAGATACAGCTGGATAATATTACTTAAAGGAGAAACATAAACAAATCTGGATAAAAGCAGATGTTCTCTTTCCATTGGTTCATACTGTCTTGCTTCCTTTAACCACTGGCACAGTAAAATACTGAGGACCTAAATTAGGATACGAGCCTAAGGGGAAGGAGCTAAGGAGGATTTCTTTTGGTAGACCAGGTTTTCACCCTCTGTCCCCCAAACGCAGAAGGGGACTAAGAAGTACGGGAGGAAAATGGAAGGGAAGCAATCGAAAGGCACAAGGCTCTAGAACCCCATGCCTGCTTTAAACAGGATTATTTCTTTTATTTAAAAACTCCATAATGGGCTTCCATATAATACATTTTTGAATGAATAAGTCCATTGCCAAAAGATAAATTTAAAATCATTTATCTAATCTTGGATTGAAGTTAACAGGGAAGTCCTCATGATTCACATACTTTAAACCAGTTCACTAGGTCGAGGGATTCCGCCTCAATTTGGGAGGAAAATCCTTTCAGTAATAAATAGTGCATGTTTGCTTGGAGTGTCTTTGCATGGCTTTCTCCTCTTGAACCCACCAACTGCCCAACATTGCAATGCCCAGGACTGCTTCCTATCAACTAGTGTGAGTGGAACAAGGTGAGATTCAAATTCAAACAAGAAATCGTTTCTAGCTAACAGTTAGAGGCTTCAAGGAGGAGGTGATGTTTCAGATGGGGCTCAAGGTCATCATTTATGTAAGAATTGGCCGCCTAGATTTAGGTTCAGTTTGTGGTCCCTGTTTACATAGAGCAAAACTAAAAATTTTATAAGGATAAAACTGAAACCTTAGCTTTGCTTATATTATATTATAGCTGAAATCATTCACAGGGACTAAGTAATAAGCTCAATTATCATATTAATACTAATGGTAAGTAAAATAGAATT